TGTAGGGAGGCCTTTGTTACATAGATTCACTGTTACAGGTTCAGGCCCTGGCCTGCATAGCTTAATTCTTTAGGAGCTTTGCCAAATGGATTGAGATCAAACCACTCTCTTTTCAACTACTGTTATTAGGGAATTTTATTAGAAATATCTGGCCTTATTAATTATAATTTAGTATTAAAATGCAGTTTTTGAGGTACCTATTTTGAAGTTAAACATATTAACATGAATGAGGCAACTATCCAGGTATGGGAAATGTCTTGTGTGCCTTTCAGGTATTTCAGGTATTGCCTTAAGATACCCAGCTCTTGAGCAAGAAGAGTGCATCATTTTACTTAAGATGAAGATATCTGGCACATGCAAAGTGTTTAAAGAAGAGCTGGTATTCAAACAGAAATGTGATTCCTTTCCAAAGCATTTGTGGAATCATACAGCTTGGACACTTTATCAAAAGTGGAAATATGCACTCAGAAAATACATTTTTTTTTCCAGAAAGGTAATAGTGAGAAATAACAGTGGCCAGAAATTAGCTGAAAAGCATTTGGCTAAGTTCAGTGATTTCAGAGCTATGCTGATTAGCAGTTGGTGGATCAGCTTCTTCACCCTTGAAAGTAGTCTCTTAGTTGGCTGGTGTTTCAGTTATGTTGAATAAAAGTATTTTAAACTTCTGTGGAGCATAGTTCCTAGTAATTAGACATTGGCATCACAAAGTCAAAACAAATCAAACCAGAAGCCCACTGTTTCTTTACAGCTTTGGACCAGAAAATATCTCTCTGGCTGTCTGTCTCATAACAGGCCAATTTTTTACTTGCTTTAAGTACAGTTCTGGTGCTCTAGACCTGGAGTCAGATTTCCAGAGTAATAAATCTCAAGGTTGCTTTCATGTAAAAGCCTGAAATATGTTATGAGTAAACTGAGAGCTGATGAAGCTTTGTGTACCAAACACAGTACATGCGTAGCAATTCGGAACATTTACTGCAGGAAATGCAGCTCTACAGAAAGTGTTCCAGCTTGTGGAGAGTCCTTCACTACACCAGCTCTTTAAAGCTGTGAACTGAATTATTAGATACCAGTGCTACAAAATTTTCTTGCATAAAACATCGAAAAGTAATTTCATATGATTTTACACAACACATACATTTTCCATCATACAGTAGAGACTTCAGTTCCATCTACAACTGGCAGTGTTTTGTGCCTTTCAACAAGTCTGTGACCTGATTCAGGTCAGAAAAAAAATTAATGGCAAATCTCTCCTTGGCTACGATGTGAGTGAACAAGCCCTTCAGCATCCAGAGTATGATACTGAACAAACATAAGGAGCTGATTTATGTCTACATCTTTAGCACAAGAGATGGCATTTATCTCACCAGAGTTTGGCATTCAGTCTAAGAAAGATGCCTTGGCTTCGGCAAGGCAGAGAGATAAGTACTTCCAGAAAAGTTCATACTTTCTTCAGGACCTCTGTTAGAGTAAGATGAATAGTTATGCAGAAGTTCCTGTCTGTTTTCAGACAGTACAGGAAGACTTGCTTAAACCTGAGCTATAGCTTTTAGATTATGTATAGTGGTTCTTATCTAAAATAGCCAGACAAGGTCTCCCTCTGTAAGACCCTCAATTATATCTAGCTCTTACCTTTAGGTTGGGAGTTCAGGCACTCAATTCCATAAACCACTAATATTCAGGTGTGTGGGAAGTGCTCTGGATCTCATCCAACATTGCGGATATTTGTGCCCCAAAACTGTAAGAGAAGTATTCAGATGTTATTACTTGCACTTGCCAAAACAGATTGCAGCACAAAAACACAGCTTTGCAAGTGAAGGGTGTTATTTTTTTCTTGAAATATTGCTTTTATCTGTAGAAACTATTCTTTTTCCAGCAGGAGGCAATACCCTCATGAGACAGGAACAGGAGTTACAACACCTGTCTTGGAGCTGGGGCACATAAATTGCTCCTCTGCACTCACTATCCTTATTGTTGTTGTCAGAATGAAGAAAGGGCATCTTCCACACAAGGGGGAAGGAAAAGGGGCAGAACTAAGGCCCTGCCAGCCTTCTGCCAGAAAGCTGCACTGAGCTGGCTGGGCAAGGTCAAAGGAACCAGAAACAGATCACAGAAACACAATCAGCATGTATTACATCTTCCCCAAGCAAAGAACAATCTGGGGAGCAGATTAGGGTCTCCAGTCACAGTCCAGTTTTCCACTTGATGATCTGAACCTTTGACAAAGCCAGAATTAAGGTCTCTGGGGTGTGATTGGATTTTTCTGTGCAGGTCTGTCCCATCAGATTAGATACATTTCTCTGTGTTTTCCCATTGCCACTGCAGCAATCTACTTTGTTCCCACATGCTGCTGAACTTCAGTATGTTGAAGAAATACTTTTCTTTCCTTTCCATTGAATAGCTGATGATAATTGAACACAACATAATTAATAGCCATCCAGTGTGGTCACATTTTCCTTTCCTGTGGGTGAAATCTTTAGCTGAGCAGTTTCTTTCCCACTGTGATTGTACCTAGTGTGTTTCACAATGGAAATAAAATCGTATCAGCATACTTGAAATTATATCAGAAAAAAACAGGATTTAAGATATGCACTTAATGCATATTCTGAGTGTCTGGTGTTTGGGATCATTTGGCACATTCAAGGTATATCTGTCAGCAAAGCAAATGAGTAACAGAAATCTTACGTTTCTCAGCAGAGCCTATTGATCCTAAAGGAGAAGCTTGATTCCATTTGTGTGAAATTGTTTGAAATACTACTCTGTAAAACTTGATCTAGAACTCAGATAAAGCCCCTATTTGGTACCTATGGCCTGACCAGAGTCACCATGTGTGATTAACACAGTGTATCTTTGACCTCAGAGGCTTTCTCAAGCATCAGGCAACTCGAATTGTTGCAGGAAACACTTAAAAGTCAGATCTTTTCTTGAAACAACAGTATGTGGGGTAGGCATGTTTGCTCAGTGCCCACTCAGGCCCCCCCAGTTTCCCTGTTCTATCAAAAATCCCTGCTTTTTTCTAGAATATGGCATTTGATGGATTGTGACTGAGGGCAGACATAGTCCAACACAGAATACAGTTGTGACACATTGCTACACTGTTATATTTTTTAGATCAGAATTCTCTTTTTTACCCATACAATATATTTTCCTCAAAACCACAGTCATCAAATTATCAGAATAATCAAGGAAATTAACTCAACTATTAAATTACAAATATAACTAATGGTAAATTATCTGTTGTTTTGTAGTACTCTGTTGTAGACATGGATTTTCTTCTTGTTTTAAAGCTGATATTGCTGTTGTTGTATATTTTTCTCAATATATCTTGAATTAAATATATTCAATTTGTAGCACTAACCAAAAGCCACTTCCAAAACATCTAGTATATTTTGCTTGCTTAATTTGTACTTGTAGATGCCTATATAAAAAGAAAGCTGTGCTCTGCTTTGGTGTTGTTTGAAGAAAGAACTGTTTTTTTCTTTTTAAAAAAGAATCTGTGCTCTTTTGTGTTCTTATGTAATTTGTGATTAATGAAAGAAAACAGTGATGTAGATATTTTGTGGAAAAAATAACTGCTTTCTAAACTTCCAAAAATATGTCCTGAGAAACCAACATTTGCTTAAAGGAAGCAAATGGATAAATTAAAATTATTGTCCTTCAGGATATTCTTGAATTTCTAGTATATTTTAATCCAAATTCATGTGAAGAAATTTCAATACCAGAATTTTTTCAGTAAATTGGTATCTCTTAAGTCAGTCACCTTATAAAAACCTTTTCAACCTGCATAATCTGTTTATTTTAATTGTATACATATGTTCAGTATAGAAGCGGTGAGTTGTCATCTTTTTAATCAGAAGTTTCAACTAACACACAAATATATAAACAAAATATTTTTCAGTTTTCTGTAATTGTTGATTAATTCTTGTTTTGAGAGCATTGACCTTTATAGTTCTGTTACTTTTGAGAATTTTATGAATTTAAAATGCCCTATATTTTCCTGAGCTATTACTGATACAGAATATGCAACATGAAAAGTCCTCAGGGACATAGTTGTTATTCCTATAATATATTTTACATGGCACTACACTTGGCTGGTTAAAAAGAAAAGTTACATCCAGACTGTTTCTATTTCAGAGAGTCTGCAGTGATGTGTGTACCAACCTAGAAATTATTCTTTTTTGTTGTTCCCTGGAAATTCTGGTCTTGGAAACAAACAAATAAATCACAGATGCAGAAGCTGTAAAACAGAGATGGCCTTAACTCTCAACCATATTCACAAAAACAAAGGCTGCAGCTCTGGAATTTGAAGCATTGGCCTTGTTCATGTTAAAGCCAATTGCAAAACCCAGGAATGTAAATGGATATAGCATTAAAATGCTGGCACACACCTACTTCTAAAGAGAAGATGCAAGTTGCATTGCTTTTAGCCCTCAGTGAAGACTAGTATCTAACACAGAGAGAAATACAGATGCCTTAAGGGGCTTATACATCTTAGGTACTTTGTTTGACACAGAGGAGACTGCATGTACTTAAGAGATCTAACAGCTTCATCTGTCTAACGACATTTGTCCAGATGTTTTTATATCCATACTGGACCTTCTGACCATCTTCACATGCATTTTAAGAATGACAAACATCATATTCAAAATGGACAATAAAACATGCCTGGATAAATTTAGTGCATTTCCTTCCTCAATTAGATAGCTGAAACAGAATCATAGGATAATAGAATGGTTTGGGTTGGAAGGGAACATCTGTTATTTTGTACTGTCACTTAAATAGCATTTCAGTACTTTTCATTTGGTAATAACTATAGTACTACTTATCTTCTTTGTTGCATGTTGATAATTGAAAGACTTCAATGAAATGTCCTACTGAAATTCAATGTTTTCCTAGGTTATTTGAAATAGCAGTTGGTATTTTGGATGAGTACTCAGTTAATACATAGCTTCACAATCTTTATATGGGAAGTAATTACATACCACAAGAAACTCTGCCTGCTCTGAAAAATATATGCTTCTTAAACACCTAAAGCCCTTTTTTTTTTTCTTTTCTTTTCTTTTTTTTTTTTTCTTTTTTTTTTGTCCCCTTTTTCAAGACATTGGAACAGTTCTTAAAGTGGTTTCAATTCCTAAGGAGACTTGGCATGAATTAGAGGAAGTCTTGCTGGAAGAAACGACAGTCTTTCGGGTAAGTGCAGCTAAATTTCAAGTGTCAGGTTGTAGATTTCTCCTTGGACAGCTGCAAACTGAACTTCTTACCGTCTAGCCAAGGAGTAGCCTGGCATACTCCTCTAATTAGCTTGTCATTTAGAGACCCAGACACTAGTCAAAATAAACCTTGAAACTTTCAGTGCCTGCTGGAGGTTAGTGATAAAAGAAATGGCATCTTGGTCTCTTGTTTTTGGGTTTAAAGGATAAATTAGTATCTGAATCTTAGAGCTATTATATGCTGTAATATATTTGTATCTGTGGAATACTGGGAATAATGCCTGTCTCTTTTCTCCCACAGAGATATGCAATACATGAATTTTATAGTTGCATGAACTCTTAGCACTATTCAGAGTTTCAGCATAAAGTAACTAGGAAGATACTTTAGGAAAAGCAATGGCCTGCACAGATTTCTTGTGCCTAATAATCTGAGAAAAAAAAGAAAGTGTTCACATTTTCTAAGGTGACTGTAGGGACTCATTTTCATGATTTGGCACAAGACACCATGAACACCCTCTAATCTTTAGTACTTTTTGTGAAAATCAATCTCTTCCATTTTTCCTATCTGAGCCACCTAAAAAATAAGGCATCCCATAAGCCCTCCTGGGAGCCAAGTAAGCCTTTCAAACACTTTCCGGACAGAACCCAGGGATGTCTTGTGTTTTGTACACAACAACGAATCATTTACATTCCCCACGTTATTCTTTTTGTCAGTGCTGGTTTATGGCACCATTTCACAGACTCCAGACTTTCAGGGAGTTGAAACCTAGCTGGGAGCCTGAAGTTAACCTGACAGTGTGAAGATGATGCTCATGCGCTGGGAGAGCCCCATGTCGCATGCTCTCATTTCAGATGTGCTGACAAGAATTGTGCTCCAAACCTGCTACAGGGGCCAGCCACGATGTCCTCATTATACTCAATTGCCATTCCTTTCTCTTTGGTTTCTGAACAGCCACAACATAACTGAACAGAGCTTGTATATATATTCTTTTCATTATTTTCTTTATTTTTCTTTTTGATGGGCTATCTTGCTGTTATTGGTACCAACCTTGGCAAAGAAAGCACTGTTTAAGTGCAAGATACCACTGAAAAATGGATATCTCTGTTTCTGCAAGCCATGGATGGGTTTTTTTGAGGGCAGAAATGTGAGATTTTTCCTTTCTTCAAACTTTTTCACAGACAAATAAAGTAGAAACTATGAGGAGAAAATGAGACAAGTAATTTGTGGCTCCCAGCTTTTTTTTTTTTTTTTCATTTTATACGTGCAAAAGTCATTACAGTAATGCAGGGTAATTTGGCAATTGTTGATAATGCATCAGTCTCTTCCCTAAATCAAGCAGAAGTGCCAAGCTAAAGATCAGAGAAATATAAAAGTGAAAGAAAGAAAATAAGTTAAGTGAAAGTTTCATTTCCAAAAGGCTTTTCAGAAGTAGAATGGTTAATAGAAAATTCAGATCTGGTATTTTACTTTACACTTGTGTTTATTCATTACACAAAAGGATTTTGGTGTTCTGATTTACTTGAAAGCTCATTCAGCTCCTTTGGCATGAATTTAAGCCTTAAAGAAAGCAATAATGTACTTCAGTGGAATAAGCAGAATTTGTATGCGGAAGATAAGGATCTTTCGGTAGGGAATTTGCAACGGATTTTGCATGTACCTTAACCAAATTAAGTTTTCTTTGGTTACTAAAGGGACTATGGGCATCATAAACAATGTATCTTGATATTTAAACTGCAGTGTGCTGAGCACAATGCTTCTCATTTATAATTCCATGAAACTGAAAGTCCTCCGTATCTGTTACACTGATAACAAATGCCTCTTTTAGCCCCATTTGTGCAATATTTCTCTGAACAGCTGAGCAAACAAACTAATGAGTTCAATTTCCATTCAAATGTTACACTTAATTGATGCTTTCTAATATAAGGTCTATTAACCCATTTGTAAAGGCAAGTCCACATGCTTAACATCCACTGACCCATATCAAATTCTCTTAGGATGAGCAAGTTGAAAGCTACACAAGTGTAAAATCTTAATAAGAGCTTTATTAATGTACATAGCCAAAAGTATGATACATGGGATCAATAGCAGATTTTAGATTTAATAAAATTCATACAGAATTGACTTGCACTCTTGGTAATCAAGTTGTGCCACTTTTACTCTCAGGATTAAAATATATTCAAGCAGCTGGGTCTAAAAGGTGTAACAGTCTTTTCATCATATGTAAACACAGTATCTCATGTAAGAAAGTAGACATTGGTTTGACATCTGCTTTCTACAGATAAATATAATTAATAAAAAAAATCAATTAAAATAAATGTAATTAAAATAAATTTTAAATTAATTGGTTGATTAAATAATGGGTATTCCAGGGTGCAAAAAACCTCTTGCCAGTTTTATTTCTGTGTTCTGCAAATACGAGTTAATTCTTTAGACATTAACATTATGGTGCAGTCAGCAAGATTATGCTTCAGATTAAGATCTGTTCTTATGAATAAAATTTTTCAGGAACGTGTTTTTCACCTTGATATGGTTAAAACATGTTGCTTTTTTCAGTGTTATCACCTGTTATCACGAATATGTACTATCTATGTGTCTTGATCCAGCCATTATTTTCATATTATCTGGGAGGTTCTTTAAATTTGGTTTGAATAGAAAGCATAGAAATTAATTTCAAGATGTGAAACTAGTAGTGAAGTAATCACAATGAAATTGTAATAATAATGGAAAATTATATGTCTGCAATCAACATAGCAATCAAAGATGCACCCAGATATGTACATGCATTCTAAGTCACTTACAGGTAGACACGGTTACACTGCAAAAGACAACAAAAAGCACTATTACTAAGGAGTATCTAGATTAATTTCAGAGTTTCTAGGTTGGGCAAATATCATTTGAGCAGAATTTTTATTTTTATAGAGCTTATCTTATATTTTAACTTTCTTTATTTTTTTCCCCCCCTAGGAACCCACTGTTATTTCAGCAATGAAGATTTCCACAAAACAGGTACCATATGAACAAAGTTTAAATCACTTCTAAATATTTATTGGTCTCTGTCTTTTAGATAAATTAACTTGGCAGTCAGTAGAGACATATTAATTGCAGCAACAGCATCCCATCCTTTTGCATAAACATCAGTACTTTCACAGGAAAATGTGACATGCAAAGGAGAAATAAAAAGTCTAGTTTGTGTTACTTACTGGTAAGGTGGAAACTAAATAAAAAAATAACCAGCTGTCCAAAGGCTCTCTTAAAAAAAAAAAAAAAAAAAAAGAAGAAGAAGAAAGTAAAATCCACATAATGTAATCTCATGACAGAGAAGCTGTTCAAAAGGAGTGACCAAACTTGGCCTCTTGCTTTAATGGGACTAGTTCTAATCTCTGTAGGAACAGTCTAGTACAAAATGTAGGTAGAAGAAGCAAAGACTGGAAATGAGACATCCTCCTGTCTTTCTGTCCAATGCCTATTCCATTGCTGGATATGCACCATTCAGCTTTAACAAAGAGGGTAGATCTCATGTAGTTCAAATTTTCCATGGTCTTCTGATTCAGTGACATGGTTAGGGTATAGGTTCCAGATTTCAGAATTTATATTTCCTACTTTCTGTTGAGTGCACTAATGACTAACTGACTTATTTAAGAAAAGACATGTATTATAGCCTTCATTGCAGACAAGATCATAACTAAAGTGAACTGAACTTCTTAATGGATGGAGGAAACGTTTTATCTCATTTATAGTAAAGGTGATTCCTGCATTTCTGAGCAAATATGGGTAATTACTAGTAGGCTTGTCTGTGAAGCAGCTGATGAATGACATAGACATGCAAAGAACTTTGGATTGAAGTCCAGGAGTGAAGTGGATATTAAAGGCCTATCTTCCAGTTCTGCCTGGACTTAGATAGATGGACCCCAGCCACTGTCATCTCCTGTCTCGGAAGTCTGAGACATAAAATTTAATGTCAAATTATACATAATAAAACCTTTTTTTTTTTTTTTTTTCCCTCCTTTTTCATATTTGTGTAGATTTGGAGCCTAATTTGGTAAAGACAACCAACTTGTTCACACTCATTAGTTTTCCCATTAAAAAAGGAGATTGGGTCTTACTTCTAGGACTGGGTGCACTAAAAATTGTGTGTTATAAATAAAATTTTGTTAATTCATCTATCTCACTCTATACATTATTAAACAGAAATTGAATTCATTCTGTAATGGACAGAAACCACTATTGTGTTTGAAATGCTCAGATTTCACTGTATTTAGGAAAGTTGTCTGAAAACATTCATGTATTTGACAGAAATAATTCTGTTTGGGGCCACTCTTCTAACATAGTTTACCACCTAAAACAACAAAAATGGCAGGACAAAAAAAAAAATGTACCATCGAATACTGGGATATTTAAAAACAAACCTGTCAAGTTGTATATATGTTCACATCATGCCAAAATGCTCTGCTTTGGATTATTTTAATAGGCACATTCCCCTAAAACAGGCAATCAGATTTGATAATGGACTGTGCATTTTCATGCAACCTCTTCTTCAAAGCATCTCTAGTTATTGAGGAGAGCTACATTTTTTTTCCTGGGTCTTTTGAAAACAAATTTACACTGCTAAATTTGTCAAAACCTAAAAAAGAGCATGAAACACAAGTTTTTAAAACAGATGTAAGCTCAAGAAAAAACAACCAGCCTCAGGCTAAAAATGACAGAATCATGATACAGTATGACAAGCTCTTGGCACTGTGTCTGTGTATCAAATGAGTGTATGGCAACATTTACCATTTTGTATTTATAATTTTTAAATACTGTAGTCTTATAATTCAAACACTTTACTCATTGTGTTCTGATAAGCAGGGAATTTTCATATAAACAGCACAATAATTCTAAGCATTGCAGAAAGCAAGAGCATGAAATGTAAGCAGTAAAACCAGCATGTCCTATCAAATAACTTCAAGGCAGACATTTACTTTATTTTTTCACTAGCAATTCTTGCATCCAATCATAAAAACAAAAGATGGGGTGTTTCTCCTTATTTTTTATTTTCTACAACACTGGTAGTTCAAAGGTGCCTCTTTTGCCATTGTGCCAATTTGGTATGTTACAAATTACTCTTCTTCCTAAAAAGCAAACACTACAGATTCCTCCAAAGCAGAACATAGCATAAGTTTTAAATGATACAGAACTCCACGGCTCCCATGCCTTTATGAGCATGAACTTGACCCCGGAGTGAGAGTGACTTTGAGCAAGGAGATCTAGTTTTTATGTGCAAAACTAAGCCTGGATACAGTCTCTCAACTCTTATTTTTTAATTCACAGGAATTTTTATTTTCTCACTGAAGCTACGTATTCCTCCCAGTTGGGTTCAGTCTTAGGTTTGTGTAACCTTATTACATGAAGAACTTATGCATGGCTAGTCAGAGACACAGACTTTCAGAGGTCAAGATCCTAGAGCCACTGAAACACCCTGCAGCCACTTCTGTGAGGGCCACGTTTCCAGGGAGCCCCTGGCTACCACTTGGCCTTGAACCTGTCAAGGTGGGGCTCCATAATTTCTCCCTTGATTTAAAAATGTGAAAGCAGGCCAAAAAGTCAGGCCTGGCTTTCCATCAAAGGTAACTTTTTGTGGAGTAATCTCTCATCTTTTGCTCAGGGTCAGATTGTGATCCTCTGTTTCAAAAAGCTATTGGATATCTGTTAAGATGGGAAAAAAACAAAAACCAAGGAGATTCTTGGCTGATACAGGCTGTCTCCTTGTCTGGTGAATTACTACGAAGAGCTTTTCTTTCTTCTCAATAAGCCCTGCAGTCAAAGGCATGACCTTCAAAATAACCTAAGTGACTACTTTCATAGTACTTTTCACAAAATACTGAATTTTATTTAAAGATCACAATTTCTGTCCATAATGAGTGTATAGAAAAAATAATCTCAAAATGGATATGTCACTTAAAAAAACCTCTGAACTATTCTGCATCCGTTACTTGTCATGACATAAAATTAAATTAAATGGGGTTTGAATTTCATGCTCCCTAAAATTATTTTTAAAATTTGGCCTAAGGTCTCTTAAACACGACATTTTAACATTTCTTTTATTTTTTTAGACTCAAATGGAAGTTATCTCTTTGTGTGACTTCTAAGGAAAGACTGCATTTTGGGCAGCACTGTGGGGCAAACAGAAATCACAGGTTTTCTTAAAACGTTAAACTCCTCAGCTTTCCTGGAATTCTGATACTTCTGCAAGAATTTTTAGAGGACAGCTTTCCCTCCCCTTCCCTCAACTTCCCCCCTTCCCCCATGTTTTTTCTGATAATCAGCTGATTTCTTAAATTAACAACTCTTGGGACAGACTCTTTGCCCAAAAGGCAATTTGAATATGTATAGCAAATCAAGGTCAGGCAATTGATGCAAATCATTCTAGTACTATTTTCTGAATTTTATACTGCCTGGATTTATATATTACTAGTGTCCAGGATAATGATCACCATCTGGAGTCTAAAACCATGACCAAAAGAGCTGCAAACAGGGCAGGAGTTTTCAGGCTGTACAGCACCTGAAACATATTCTGTAGTTCACTGACTGAACTTGATGAATTTACCTACAAAGAATAGTGTCTTTATGCAACCCTATTTTGGCCTCACTTGTTTTTTTCTTCTATGTTCTGGTCATTCATTAATTCTAAAGACATTTACTAGAAATCAGGGAGGGGTTTTGGACAAAATTACAGGGGTGCATAGGGAGCCATCACACCATTCTTCTTTTACTTTCTCATGTGCATTCTCTGGGCTGTTTTTTCTATTAGTTGTACCACACATTGATACATGCTTAAATAGATAGTAATGCCCCAATTACATAGAACTCAGATCAATACCATCTGGACATTTAAGATACTTAACTGAAGCTCTAATTTGACCTATGCTGCTTCCATAATCAGTAAAGAGAAAAGGCGTCCCTTGAGAAATGTTTGGGTCACCTAAGATTTGAATTGCTGCTCTTTTTACTGCAGAACGTACCCCCTAAGCTGGGTATTTCATTAAGTGAATTAAGTTAGAAAGAGTCAGCTTATCACATCTGCTGCCTGTCATCTGCTTCACAAGGATTCAGCACTCATGGACACTGGTACCTACAGTCAAGGCTTTGTGTAGAGCTCTGTGTGGTCAGAGGTTTTTACCCAGAGAATGTGAGTTTAGAATCCAGCTATTGGCACTGTAATAGATGGAGGCAGCTGCTTAGTTTTCAATTTACCAGTGAATTTTCCTTTGGGTACTTTCCTTGTCATATTTGCTTTGAGAAAATACTGATGTTTATATAAATGGACGTGATGTTTCTGTTACAATTAATATGCCTGTATAAACTGCCAAGTTGCTGTCTCTGGAAGAAGATAATGCAACACCTTTTATGAGTGCTTTTGGTTTTGCTGTCTACTGGTTGGTATCCAGTATCATTTCCAATTGGTAGGTGACCTCAACCACCACCTATCTCCAGATTCCCTGGAAATGCTACCTCTGGGACATCACAAATCAGAAGATTAAGTATTTTGATAACATTTCTTGAAATATTGTTTTTCACACCAGCTTTATATTTTATAAGAAAGAGAAATGAATAAAAATTTGTATTTTCCTGGTGGGACTTCTTTGAGTAAGTCCTTGAAAAGAAATGTGTTAATTAGCCTACCATGGGTGACAAAGTTTAAGCTTTTGATAGGAAGCTGTCAGTGTTTCCCAACCAGAAAGATTATGCAATTTATTTTTTGTTTATCTATTTATTTTGTTTTCCCCTCATTTTGCATCTCAGAAGGAGCTGTACTTACTCACTAGGCCCTTACTTGTTTTCTTTGGGAATTAATGTTAAGCTGAAATATCTTTGTTAGGACTTCCATGTGGGATCAGTAGTTCAGTTTCCATATGTCCTACTGGGAATCAAGATCAAGCTCCAATTAATGGACCACATTAGTTTGATATAGGAGAGAAAATAGAGTCAAGATGTTCTGTTGTGATGCCATATGCAGCTGTAGGTCATTTTGTTTGCATCTTTATTTTGTTTGTTTGTTCTTTCATGGCTTTTCTTTAAATTTGAACTTCATCTTCCACACAACACTGATGTTATTCAAAATAAAGTAAGCCATTTCCTCTCATTAAATATATGTTTCAGTTAGACTGTGTCACCTACAGAAAAGATTATGAAGCATCAGAATATCAGACACACAAAGCTGAAATATCTTAGTATCAGTCTGAAATTAATTTACTTTAGATTTCCTCATACGCATGGCAAGGTAGCATACAGGAAATTGACATTAAAGTTGTTTTTCTTTTTCTTGGAACTCAAAAGTATATTCTCTTTTGTGGCACTTATCCAGTGCAGGGCTCTGAATACAAAAGAAAAAATTGAAGAGTACTTTAATTTCCCCTGCTGTTTAGAGAAGCCACAGAGTGTTTAATACAAAAATCTAAATCTAAATCTTTGATTTTTATTTTTTTTTTAATTCTGAGGACAATTCTCATTCCTTTAGTGTACATCAGGATCACCATCCTTTATTGCATTTGTAATGGGCCTAACATATTCTTGTATAACTTTTTTCATGCTTTCCTAGTAAAAAACTGGCAATTTGTGTTTTTTAATTTAATTTTATTTTTAACTTTTAAAATAGCAACAGCTCTACATTGGCTCAGCCACTGGAGTTTCACAGCTTCCTTTACACCGCTGTGATGTGTATGGAAAAGCATGTGCTGAGTGTTGCCTTGCGAGAGACCCTTACTGTGCCTGGGATGGTTCATCTTGCTCACGTTACTTCCCCACTGCTAAGAGGTAGGGACAGCTTCAGATGTCTGCATGGTTTGATATTTGTTTTAGCTGATGGTCTCAATAAGACCAGAGGGCTCTGGAGATTTTTCATGGGATGGTTAACTGGAGCCCTTCCTCTTCCAAAGAAAACATAATTGTGGGAGTTACAAGCAATATGAAGTCTTGGTTGATTTAAAGTGAACACTGCTACTTCTTGGGTTGGCTTAAAAAGGTGCTGTAAAAAAAAAAAAAAAAAAAAAAAAAAAATTTAAAAAATAATTTTCTCTGAAATGGATTCATTACTTTAAGTAATAATTGGCAAAAAGAAAATAATTCACTTTCTCTGACATTACAAGTGGGCTTGATGTTAAAACAGCTGCTTGCCCAAGTAAATTGTCCTCTATTTTCAGGAATTCTAATTCAAAGGAAATATTATTAAGTTTTTGGACATGAATTGAAGGTGTGGGGGTTTTGTTTAGTGATACATATTGTTGTTATTCAAAACTATAATTTGTATGTGTTGATGTGTGTAAATGCTACCAGATCAGAATAACTACTATTTTACATTCTGCACTGATGCTAAAGGCAAAGTTTAAGTGGAAACAGACTCTGCAAGTGAAAAATACAAGTTTTCTTAAAAAATTACAAGTCTTAGTTGCCTGATCTGAAAATTTTAAAAATCTTGTTTGCCTGCCTTTACGTCTGATTTTTTTTTCTCCTGAAGTAAGATAGTTACTGAACAGCTCTTAGCTACTGAAGTAGAAATTGGGAATAAATGAATAGATAATCACTTGCAAGTAAGAACAGAGAATGATGGAGTGTTGAGAGTCCTGTGATAAATTGGCTAAAATGATAAAAAAGTGCTCACATTAAATTGAATATGTCAAACATCTTGCACTTAAGAAGAAACAAGGAATCCAAGTGTTTATGTACATAAGGGTTCGTATACATAAAAAGAATGGTAGCAAATACTCACTTGAAAATGTCAGAACTCCAAATTCCAGATTTGGACTGGTTGTTGTGGGAGATGAAATGTAATAAAGGGTAGGAAACAGCATTTGTGTCACAGACTTTTCAATGGAGGTGATTAAAATGTTAAGGTTTGCATCACAATGTATCCCAAACAAATACTGATGACAAAAGAAAAAGCTGCTTAGAGAACTTCAGTTTCTATATTTGTATGAGGAAACAGAGTTAATCTGAGACAAGCTTTTGAAGAAATTCTTTAGAAAAGAGTTTAAAAGAAGACAATTAATCCATCCCAAAAGAAGAGCTGATCAAACTGTCTCAGCTGCATGGGTTAATTCAAATTCGTGTTTGGGAGCACAGCAGTTTCTCTGGAGGAGGAGGAGGAAAGAGAGGAGAGCAGTGAAGTTTCCAAGGGGAGTCTGAGAGATTTATTTGATCTGAAAGTTTTAAGGGTTAGAAGTCAGTGTGGTTGAGTACTGTCTCTGAGCTGAAGGGGATGGTGAGGTCAGGAAACATTGAATCACTCTTCTCTGCTACTTCCCTACTGATCTTTATCCCTGAACTTTGCTTCTCTGCATTCACTAGCACCCATTCCTACTCCCAGCCCATGTCAAGACCCATAGAACACATCATCCTGTCATTCATCTGCTTACACTGATGAAAGAAATAGACTTCTTTGATTTTCCTTTCCGTCTCTCCACCTTATTAAAGACCAGACAAAGCTTGCTGCTACCATCAGGGGTAAAGGGGCTGGAACCTCTTCTTACAGGGATTAAGGGGCAGGGTTTCTGGAGCTAAAGCGGGTTGCACAACTACAGTAAAAATTTGGGGTGCAGAATTCACTCTTCTTGATGCTAAGAAAAAGAAAGTCCTGGGGTGCTGAGATCCTGACAATTCATTCAGAAAAAGCTGCCATCTCCCCCTTTTTCCCCCCATTTTTCCCTTGGCTGCAGCAACAGCAGCAGAATAAAGTTCTATGTAACTGAGGGGGAGGATGCTCTGTTTACCTGGGACCTGCTGTACCCACTGCCTCAAGCCAGCTTTGAATGCACATAGGACAAAATCAGCATTGCTGGAAACACTTTAAATGTCAGCATTTTCTTAATAATGAATCCTTGTAATTTTAGGTTCCAGAAATACTGGGAAAGTTGTGTCCTGAGGCAGTTGTACAGATGTTTACTAATAGTTGGTTTGGGATTTTGGTTTTTGTTGCCCTGTATTTTTTTTTCCCTTCTTTTTAAAAAGGAGCTTTTCATGAGCCATTATTTTAATTTCCTTTACTTTCTTGGTGTATTTTACAAGTCTAAATGACAGCTCAGAGCTCCTGTAGTATGACCACTTAACTTTACTCCATGCAGATGTGTTCTGGTTCATATTTCATAAATCATCATGTTGATACAATGGTGATATGTGTGACATTTTCCTGAGATTCAAACTAAACATCTTATCCAGACTCCATTGACAGTAATACGAGTCGTTCCACAGACTTCTTTTCTACAAACAGTATCCTATAAATGTGCTGTATTTCAAAATTTAGGAAGAAGTAACAAAATCTTATGGTTCCTTATGTTTTGGTGTATTGTTATTCATTGGTAATGAGTAATATGAAGATGATATCTGTAATTAGGATTAGTGATTTTTTTAAAATCATATATCAATCAAAAGAAGAGATTCTTTCTTACTAAAAAATGCTAATATGTACTAAATAATAATTTTAAGGATTTTTTTTATTCAGAAAATATAAAAAATGTATATTCTTCTATTTTTCCTGGAAAAAAAACACAAAACCCTGTTGCCATCCTTCTTATAACTAACTTCGTGTTTAACATTTCAGTAGCTTTCAGTGGAAAAAAAATATGGTTAAAATTTTCCAGCCTATAGCAGTCAGCTGTGCAGTTGATGGTGCCTCTGTGAGAACTCTCAGAATGTGCTGATGCTGGGCTGTTAGTGAGTCTGCAAATAGGGCCAAAGCGAAGTGGTTCCTGTACTGCACAACAATGGCTTTTTAAAAATGTGGGCTGTTGTCACAAGGGAGTGACCAACACTGCTTTTTACAAGGCTACTCGACTTTTGCATATCCGTTGCTGGATGCCCTAATCTGAAATAACAGCATTGTTCAGCAGCCTAATCCTCTTTGTTCTCCTCTAATTTTGCAAGCCCTCAGGCTTTCTCTGATTCCTAAAGTAAAGAGCTCACACTTGAAACACATCTTTGTTTGCCTTGTTCTTTTTTCTTTTCTTTTTTTTTGCATGAAACGTTTTTCTCTGGCTTAGTTGAATTTTGTGTCATAGCTATTTAAATAAAAATAGGAGCAGACAAAGAGAGAAAATCAAATGCCAAATAAAACTCTATTAGAACCCTTTTTGTTTTCTTTTCTGTGAAATACAACATTTTTTTAGCACAAATTATTTCTTTATTTTTTCAAAAGAGCCACTGGTAATCAAGCTGGGGAAAGACTTTACTATGTTAAATGGAAATTCAGTAAAAGCTAGAACACAGACTCAAGCTACAGAGGATGGAATAAATGACATTTCAAAATCTTCCTACTCAAGTATTAATTATTCTGTTTATGCTAAAGATAAAATCATTTGAAACCGTTATGGAAAATATTTTAACAGAAATGTTTTAGTGAAAACAGTAGTGGCTGAAATGGTCTGTGTAATTTAGATTTTGTACAAAATACAGCACTCTGACATTCTTTCAAAGCATTTCATTTTAGCTAAAAGATGCCATGATGCTTAAAGAATATATTCTGTAGCTGCAGAAAAGCTGTAGCTTCTTCATGTTTTTTGATACTTGTTAAACTGTACTGTATGTACTTTGATCCTTTAGCAGTCCCTGCATCTTTGAATCAGCTAGTGAATTTGTCTGTGATCTACTCAGAAACACAGGTGAAATAAACTTCAAAGGCTCAGTGCAAGAGATATGTACTTACCAGTTCCTGAACATTTTTCTTGTAATAAGAGTGAAAGCTGATTCTACAAACTGTGATAATGCATAGAATACAGTAGTAAGAATATGATATCCTTCCTAGTGTGGTTTAGGTGCACTTGTGGCCTATGTAATTATATATATATATGTTCCATTTTTTGCTCTTCTGTCATGGCAAATGTGAATAGTGACCACTGTGAAGGTCACTAACAATTTTCAAATATATTTGCAGACGTACTAGACGACAAGACATCCGAAATGGAGACCCACTTACCCACTGCTCAGACCTGCAACATCATGGTGAGTTAAAGACAGTTATATTTTTTCCTGCTCAAGGTAACAATATTAAGCATTCCAGTTTTTCTATTTTGCTTACCTGATAATAGCTTACCATGGGGCTAAGCATATTGTGTCAGAAAAGAGACATATCTCCTTCAGAACAACAGGAAATATATACTTGCTTCATATAGTTTTCACAGGATGATAACCAAGCATGTAAATAACTACCTTGGCTGCATATGGAATGGTCTTTGGTGTAGTTGCCACAGTAAGAGGCCTTAAGATCAGGATGTTCCTTGCAGTAGGCCTGTCCCATGTGCTTTCAGCATGGGTTTGACATATTTTGGTTGTGGTTTTCCTTTTAATTCGTTGCTTCATTTTCCCAGTATATTGACCAGATCTTTCTTGAATTGTTTGGCTGATAAACTTCTCAGAATGATTTATTTGTTGCCAAAGTCTTCAGAAGATCTTTCCTTAGAAAATGAAGAATGTCTATTTGCTGTAAATGAAGAGAACACTTAGGCAATACTTCCCTCTACTGGAAAAAAAAAAAAAAAAAAAAAAGATTACTCATGTCTGTGGTACATCTATAATAACGCTTTAAACTGGACAGATTTCTGGGATGAATATAGAAGAGATGGCTGGAAATAGCAAGAATGATAAATAGTCCAAAGTTGTACTTTTGTGTCAGCCATAATTCACATCACTATGTTTCAGCAGTAGTTTTCTTTGTCTTCCTTTTGAATTGTTTAAAACTTGAAGGTAACTTTACTATAGCTCTTTTTTTTTTTTGCCTTTTTTTTTTTACTTCTTGAATGTTCTTGAATGGCCAACCTACTCAGAGGAGAAATGAGTTTGAAAAAGTGCATAAATAGACTATGATCAATACACAATTGCCACTTTTTCAGAACTCATGAATGTACAACTAGCTTAGATTTGAACAAGTCAATGTGAACTAGTAGAAAGTTCACACATTTCCAGTTGCATGGTATCTAGTCATGCTTATAAAGTGCAGATGAGACCATCTGCTCTTTTGCAGTTGGGTATTGGGGCTGAGATGACTTTTTCAGTTCTCAAAAAGAAAATTCTACCAGGCACTAAACATGTATTTTATTACCAGCAGAACCATGTCTTAACTTTACCTTTTTTGTATCTGGACATTTTAGTCATGAGGAAAATGATGATCTGGGCTACCATAGATCTAGTTTTTTTAAAAAAAATCTCTTGCCTTTGCTAGCTGTGCTTTATACAGCCACAGGTCTGTTCTTTATCTTCAAAAAACAAGAAAAACATTTCAAAACACTTTTTAAAATATATCTTCCCATATTTGGTAAACATATTTGTCTTCTGTCCAAAAGGAAAAGAGCAATTCAGCACAGCTTTTTATCACAACAATCATGAGAACAGGAGAAGTCAGAAAAAAAATATTTAAAGGTACACCCAATCACTAGGAGTTTTCATACAGCTTCTTCAAAATAAGCAGAGCAAGTAGGAGACAAGGTACCACTGAAAATTTTACTTAATGGTGAAATAAAGACAGTGTAATTAGAGGAATGAATAACTTAAAAAAAAACACCGAGGGAATGCAGTTCTAGGTCCTAGACTTTAAGGGTACACTGTCAAAATACTTTACTTAAGAGTGTTTTAGATTGTTCTTGAGTCGATTGTAGCTCTATGAAATTTTCCTATATTTATTTCTCATTTACACATGATCATGCATTGTACAGGCAGCTGCATGGCCCATAAACTTCCTCTGCCAACTTATGCTAAGATTTTTCCTTAGTTATGACTATAGTTTCCTCCAGAACAGATGAAGAACTGGGTTTGTCTATTGCCAAAAATAAGCTCCAGTAATAATTTACTGCTTGTCTACACATTCCTCCACAAAAACATCCAGTTGATTCTCCATGTGAACCAACAGAAACAAGGAAAAAGAACAAACTCTCAATGTGTACCTTACTTTTAAAGACATTGCGGAAACTTAATTTGGTATCAGTCTGAAGTAATAATGCTTTTAGTAAGATTTAGGTATCTCTTTCAGTTGTGCAAATGTATAAGAAGTAGTAGTATGAAATTATTACATAGCAACATTAGAGGGATCCTTAATTAGGATCCTTAATTGCACAGGTGTTTGGCCCATCATTAATGCTTAAATCTAAAAGCATAATCACTTTTTGTATCAGCTGAAGAACAATATTTTTAAAGTGTAACATACTAGTGGTATTAAGAAACTAATCAAGTTCTTTTTTTTTAAGACTTTATAAATGAAGAGGCACATTTTTTTAGGTGACTTATCCCAGGGGAAGCTCAGAGAGTTGCTCTGAATTTAACTATATAGTGTGATTTATTAGTCAGCAAAGCAATCTTGGTATAAGTACTTTTCATACTTCTTGGGTTATGTCAGGAATTATGTATTTAAAGGATATTTATCAGTGTAGTAAACTGATACTGCTTTGGGGTTCATTTTGGGAATTACAGCTCTCAGACAGGATTTTTAGTTGAATTTCATAACTAACTTCATGACTTCTCTAGTGTTCTGATTCCTCCAGCTGCTCTTCTGAACTTACCAGACCGTCATTCTTCCTTATAGTCTCCTCAGTCCCAGAGCTGCACTCTGATCCGGTGATTATTCCATCACTCTGCTTACGTTCTTGCACCCCATGAGCACAATATTACATGAACTTTTTAGAAATTTCTAGACCTGCCTTCTATTCCCTTAAATAATAAAAATGTAATTTGAAAGATCTATTAAGTCTTTCCTCTCTCATTTAATGACTGTCACCCGAGCTGTATTTTCTGAAACTGTGAGTTTAAAGAGGGCTTCTGCCACTTGTCATGGTGATCCCTAAGATGCTAGAATGTCATGGACCATATCCAAGAAAACACTCAGAAGTTTGAAATGGCTTCAGAGCACCCACTTTCAAGATAACTTACCTGAAAACTTGTGACTAACTTCTCATATAGTAAGGCTATCATAGATATCTTAAGTTTTCCAGCAGAAACTTCTCCATATACTTAAAAATATGCTACTGCTCATGGACAGTAGGATCCTTGCCAAGTAAATGACTAGTTTTGACCTTTGTATGCACATTTAGGAACTAGAAGACTGTCTCCCTGTATCTAGTAAGACCAGTATTACATGTGCTCTACTCCTGTGTAATTCATTTGGACTATGTTGGATTCTGGAAAATACAACCAAGTACTGCAAGCCTCCTAATTAGTAACTGACTGGCTAAATCAGCTATTAAGGATGTGAAAGAAGAGGACTCAGAGTCCACTAAGGCTTTGGAGATTGATTTGGTAGCTCTACTTCCAGTACAAGCACCCAAACTATGAAATTGTTCTTGTTTAAGATGGTTCATTTTGCAACCATGATTGAAAGTTCATAGAGCCTGGGGAAAACAAATTGAAATAGAGCATGCATCCTAGAGTGAAATTCCTGTGTTTCCATCCTTTATTCTGGAAGCCTATAAATCTCTGTTTCACAGACGTTGCTGAAGCAGTAGTATACGTGTCCCCGGCTGTAACAGGGGACATTTGCTACTGACTGTCTTATGCTGCAGCTCTATACATGCTATTTGTTGTGAATCCCAGTTCAGATATCACACTGCCTCTTGTTGACTATGTGAGGATCTTTGGCTGCCTGTTCAGCTGTGAATTCTGTTCCTAAGTTAGAGTACATAACTGAAACAAGAACAGCCAGGAAGATAGCAGGCAGCCATTCACAATGTTGAATCTGGACCCATGAGTTATCAGACAATCACTTCCATTTCCAGTCTTTATATTATGACTTCTATTTATAATCAGTTAATCTCTTCACAGACAACCAGTTTCTCTGTTTCATCAACACAAATTCAGCCATGATCTATCTTAGACCTTGGCTACATTCTCTTCCAGCAGTCTTCTCTTGCTGCTTTGCTTTCTAATTCATTCCTCCATTGCTCCCCATCTTTCTGGCCCAAGGCTGCACTGACATTCTTCCTAAGGATGTGGTTTCAGAGAGATGTCATAAAAGTTGTTTCACTTATTTATGTAAGCACCCCACCTACTTGTTGGAAAGGTTCATAATCCAGCAGAGGAAAGCAGGCTAAACCATTCCCTATTTGTTTAGTGTTAATAGGCCATTTGATGCTTCCTTACTGAGAACTGGGCAAGCAGCAGTGCCTGTTCTGTCCCCCATCCCTTCTCCCATCCTCTCTCAGGGCTGCAAGTCATTATGGAAAGACAGGATTGCCACATGAACATAAACCAGGAGCTCAATTTTATCTTTACCTTTGGCTCAGTCATCTAGAAACAGCCTGCGTTTGATAAACAACATGGCCAATATGATAAAGGCACAGAGAAAGCAAACAAAACTTGACAGAAGATTTCTCGGAGAGAATTTTAATTAGTCATAATTTTCCTGTTAAAAACATACCAAAATTATTTTAGAGATTTCCAGTGCTAAAGAAAGAATGGAAAGAATGATAAATAATGGCAAAGAGACAGGAAACCCTGTGAGATCAACACAATATTAAATAGCTTACCAACTCCTCCTCATCATCTACTCTCCAGGATTATTGTACTGTTGCCACTTAAGTCCATAACAGCATTTTAAAGAGGTAAGGTGGAGAATTGAAATATGATGCCTCACAGCCTCTGCGGTATTGGAGAAGAATCAAATGCCATATAAGTCCTATAGCTATGTGATATTTCCAGCAAGCTGATGAATATCTTGAAACATTGTTGTTACAAAAGGAAGTAATTTATTTAACTTTCTTTTTCCCTTCCCATGATGTCTGGTTTATTAACCTCTTTACATTTCCATAAATTATATCAGTATGAGAGGAAATGATTAATTGAAGATTGTTTCCTCAAAAACATTATTCCTGGTCATTAACAGCTTCAGCAAACTGCAGTGCCATATAATCTAAACACATTATACTACTTTTAAGTAGCCTCATGTTTTATTGCTTTGCTCTAAAGTATTATGATGATAGAGCCCAGGAGGCATCATTAGAGACATTCTGCAACTACACCCTGAGTTTTCTCTTTGCATACAGTTCACTATTAGAAATTCTTGTCGTGTCCTGGATGTTTTCCTTGATGAATAATAATGAGGTTTACACAAAAATTCACAATTAAATTCATTAACTTCACATATTGAGATGTTAACAGCTGTTAGGATTTAAAATTCTAAAATAATAAAAAACCCCTACCAGGGGTCCTTACAAAGATAGACATGTTGATGGCAGTTTTCCAAATGGCATACAGATAATGGGCAAATTTTTCTTTTAAGGTTTTTATCTTTAAACACCTTAAGGGAGGTCAATTTTTAAATTAACAAATTCACTTAGCAATTAAGCTTTTTCTTTCCTGGTAGTTTTAATGCTTTCTTTCTTGCTTTACAGATAACCCAAGTGGTCAAACCCTGGAGGAAAAGATTATCTATGGAGTAGAGAATAGCAGCACTTTTCTTGAGTGCAGTCCAAAGTCTCAGCGTGCCGTTGTCTACTGGCAATTCCAGAAGCAAAACGATGACCGCAAAGAAGAGGTACCATAGAAAAATATCAAGAGATACAACTAGTCTTTCCTATCGAGATATACTTGAGAAACTGGGTGTTTCCAAAAGTAGCTGTCTGTATTTTAGTTCAGCAGAATTGATCTGGAATCTTATACTTTCTGTTGTTCACCATATTCGTCCTCTTTTCACCACAAAATCCTATAAGGTCTCTATTGGCTTTCACAGGCTGTCACATCAGAAAACATGCATATGCTCTCCCTGGTCAGACCTCCTGCAAAACACACTGGTTTTCCATTAGGTATCTCAAAAATACTAAAAGTTAGTCTGCTATCTAAGGGCCACCCACAGCATCATACAAGGATTATATTGAACTTAAATATTACAAAGACCTTAAAACTGACTCTGAAAAAAGTTAAACTGCTTTCATCTAGTTTTACTCTTTGAGTGAAATGTTGTCTTAACAGGGCTGTTGCCTGTGTACTGCAGATAAGACAGAGACAGAAAGAACTAGCAACTCTAGTGGACACAAGGGTATGAAAACGTGTACATTTTTTTCATCTAAAGCAATATTCATGCAGGCAAACACACTGACTTTCTCTGCTTGCATTACACTGAGGTGATACTTTATTTTTCTCGTTCCCTTGTCACCAACATTCTTATGTTATTGCTCACCCAGGTCCTCAAGTAATACTGCTATCAAGCTAGGTCACACATATCTTAAGAGAATAAGCTTGTCCAGTAGGTGGGAATATCAAGCTGGGAAACAAGCTTTTTTTGCTGTGTTGTTTTTTTTTTCCAAAACATGTTCAAACTACTTGGTTACATTAGCAGCTTTAGATTTTTTTGCAGTTTTCTTTGTTTGCATAAGCAGTAAATCATTTAGACTTTATTCTTGGTGGATAGAGCAGCAAACAGGTTTGTGGCCTTTCTGCCTGCAATGACACATGCATTCAAAGGATGAGATTATATTCTAGATAGTAACTAATTCAGCAAAATGAAGTATTTTGGACAACTGCTTTTGGATTATTAATATTTTGAGATTTAATCCTTATTGTTCCTTTGCAAATTCTCCACTTCTGCAGAACCCACTTCTATGAATAAGGGCTTTTACAATAAGGAACAATAGGAAGACAGAGAATGTTTCCCACAAATCCATCTAGGCTTGACTGAAAGATGATAAATGTGACCTCAGTTATACAGCCAAATGCATCTATGTTGACTTTGCTGATTATGGGCTTGCGTTTTCTGTAATCTTACCAGCAAGTCCATCTGACAGAGTTCATACAGATCTTGGTTCAGTTTTTTTCAGCAGCAAGGGGTGAATTCTTAATCCCCCAAACTCTTTGCGGTATATCAGTAGTTTTTCCAAACTATTTGAGCCTTCCATAACTAGAGATGACTGGCAAGGAGTTTTCCGTTTGTGTTGCTTTGGCTGTTTTTGACAAGTTTTACCAGCTGAAAGAAGCAGTACTAAGGAACTAGTGTGGTTAGAGGATAATGTTGTATAAAAGATAACTATTGAAATTACCACTTTTTTTCCCAATACAGATAAAAGTGGATGATCGCATAATCCGGACAGAGCAGGGCCTGTTGCTACGAAGTCTTCAACGGAGGGACTCTGGTGTTTACTACTGCCATGCTGTGGAGCATGGCTTCATGCAAACTTTGCTCAAAGTGACCCTGGAAGTAATCGATACTGACCACCTGGAAGAGCTGCTCCATAAAGAAGAGGATGGTGATGCCTCCAAGACCAAGGACACTACCAACAGCATGACCCCCAGTCAAAAGATCTGGTATAGAGACTTCATGCAGTTAATCAATCACCCCAATCTCAACACAATGGATGAGTTCTGTGAGCAGGTTTGGAAAAGAGACCGCAAACAACGCCGGCAAAGGCCTGCCAATGCGCAGGTGAATACAAATAAGTGGAAGCACCTACAAGAGAATAAAAAAGGTAGGAACAGGAGGACCCATGAATTTGAGAGGGCACCACGGAGTGTCTGAGCTACATTACCTCTAGGAACCTCATCCAAGTAGAAACTTGTATAGACAGATAACTGGAAAAAAATGCAATATTCATGAACTTTTTCATGGCATTATGTGGATGTTTACAAGAGTGGAAAGTTCAAACTATTTCCACCAGGTTTAAATAAAATAAATTTCTAACTTTCCCAGTAAGTCCTTCCTCTGTGCTCTAAGACCAGAAAGACGAGAGCTTCAAGGATGAGAACTCACCTGGACCTGGCTTACTGCTCAAAAAGTTTTGCAAGTGTTCAGCAGGCAAGTTTTGCTTATTCTTTTGCCTGAGATACAAACAAAATGCAGTATTTCATGCTGTCATCTTAAAGAAAAGAAAAACAAAACCAACCTTTCATCATCAGCACTACCATTTCTAGACTTACATATAAAACTGCATGAACTCATTAAGCTGATGAACGTCTAAACACATGATTGGACACAAGGATTTTGTTCTTGTTTTGTCTACCAGTTCTCCTGTTTGTATGTACTAGAAGAGGAAAAACAATACTGAATGAGATTGTTTGTGGAAATCTGAACAACATAAGCCATCCATCATCTGGAAGAACAAAAAATGTGGAGTACACTGGCCTACTACTGATGACTTCTTTCAGCTTTGTTCTAAAGATGTATTTTATTAAAGCTATAATTTAAATATACCATGAAAAATATGCAGCAAACATTAGCTCTTTTCTAAAATAGATTAGACTTTTTGTCTTAGAAATATTGTACTTTCTAATAATTGGTTTAGAGTAAAACACAACTTTCAATTATGAGCTGCTTTTACTGTTTTGTTTGGAAAATCTTTCAAGGGAGCTAGTCACACTGCAGTTAACCTCCTCCCCTCTCAATAATCTGTAAGACATGTTGCTTCAAAACAATTTTAAAACTAAGCTATTTTAACATGAAAGTTGCTGTATAGCATGGAAGTTTTCTGCATTCTTCTTTTTTCCTAAGTATGGTATTTTAAATGATTCAGCTTGTATAATACCTTGTTATAGATTGAACCAATGAGGAGGAGAGCATTGATTTTCAGTTGTATATTTTTTTTTAATTAAAAAAGTAAATAGCATTAAAATACCCTCTACTAATTACGCTCTTGCTTTCTTGGTTCGTAAATATTTGTGAATGCTAATATTTAAATACTGTGGCTCATAGACTGTCATATATCCATGAGCAAAGCTCACATTCAGTTTGAGGAGTTTTATTCCCAGCTTAGAAATATGTCCACACTACTGATTGTCAGAGCTCCATTCTTTCTGTGGGCCATATCACCCAAATGCAAAGAACCAGCACTAGGTCACGTAAACAGTAACCTGAAAGCCAGGTCTCTTCAAGATGTAAGGGACAGTTTTATCTGTGGGTGAGGTCTGCTGTAGTAGTTAATTGGTGAAGTTCAGCTTAAGACTAGTTTATAGTAACAAATAATTTGGTCCTGCACTTCTGTCTTATTCTATATGTAGGAGAGCAACAGGGTAAAACAGACAACGTACTTGCACCGTAAGTGTCAGTTTAGGGTTATAAGTAGTGGATGTATTCACCTCAGCACAGATGTGCCTTTGGTCCCCAGTTCTATGGTGTCCAGTTCTTTTGAGATCATCTTTCTCCAGCCTCCCATATTTTATCTTGGTAGAGTCCGTAAGTCACATTACTTCAAGTAATGTCATTGTGGGGAAAATTACTAGAACAAAGTCCTTACTTTGCTAGAGGAGCTTTTATATAAAAGTGTGTCTGTATTGATGACTGATCTGTTTTGTTATTATTCACTCAATTATTTAATTTATCAATCACTACACTATCAGCCTTATCAGATACAATATAACACAACTGCTGTGACAGCGTCTCTCACAATACATTTCAGTCTCCTTGCCATTCACTAATTCAAGTATCCTTCTGCTTAGTGAAGCCTTGGCTTCTTGCCTCCATAGCAATTGGATTTTCACTAATGGCCCAGTCACTTTAGTCCACTTTGAATCTTTTGCAGGGGATGAACTTGCAAGATTTTTTTGTCATTTCATCCCTTAGCAAAAAATAATTGAATATTAATTAATTTAGTTCTAAGGCAACTTTAAGCCTCTCTTATGTTTAACTTGACTCCTGTGAAATTTAATACACCATTAAATTCCCATGCTTTCATGATGTGCTGATTAGGGATGAATTAAAACATGAGTTCAACTATGTGCTTTCCTGTATAGGATTATTACATTTTCAGCTCAGCTTATGAAAAATTGCTGAGCATCTTTGCCAGCTTAATTTTTAAACGATAATCACAAAACACTCGTTAGCATTTAGTGTGGGGCTATTGTGTACCATCGAGTCATTAGAATCTTGTTACAAAAAGAAACAGTTTTTAAATGAACCTCAGAGAATTCAGTGGGCAAAAATAGAGGTTGATTTCAACAGACCCTAAATGACTTTGTTTCCTCTTTTTACATGTTAATGGAATTGTTATCTAACTTTTTTTCTCTACCATGTTCACTGCACCTAGTTCTTGCTAGAAACTTGCTGCAAAAACATCAAAGAAAAAAACAGTATCTTTCACCACCCCTGAAGAAGATTGAATTAAGTCAGGATTCTGAGATTTGTTTTTCTATACAGAAAAGGATAATCTGCAAGAACAAAATCACAGAAATTCCAATGTTTTTACCATAATCTGGCAGTCTAATTGGACAATTGATATGATCAGATCTTACAAACTTCAGTGCAATCCTGAATGACATGAGTAGTCTTGTTTGTGTCCTTATATTTGCTTATATATATCACAGGGCACAAGATCAAACCAGCAGTGAAATGCTTTTTATTTTCAGGTTCACATTATGGTCAAGTTAAAACAGCATTTAATACTGCTGTGAATTGAACATTTTTCAAAAAACATAGGCCTTAATGAACTCATGTGCAGAAAGATGCCCTGCAGCTTCACTAAAATTCATACTGCTATTTGTGTCATTGTTCAAAGCAACATGTTTGAAGATAAAGGTAAAAATGGCATTTCTGAAAATGATCAATAAAGCCTTCTAAACCTCTAGTTACAGACTTTAGAAAACGTAAGTAAAAAGTTGTGTTTAAGCTGGAAATAAATATGTAACCAGGAAGATCCATTTTTATTTGGTTTAAGATACTCATTTGCAAGGAAAAAAAATGCATTGAATCTTATTCTTACTCATCTACACTTTGCACTTGCATGGATCACTGAAGATGGGAATTTGTTCAATGGCTCCTAAAACCTGTATGGTTATGTTAATCTATGACATCAAACTGAGAAAATGTGCATCTTTGCAGAACAGAGTTAAATCTTCATGACCCGATAAAGTCACTATGTAAAAAAAAAAAAAAAATTAAATTAAATGCATGTGAATGCGCATTTACTGATCCTTTTTATGTATTATTTAGTGAATATCAATGGTATGTGTTTAATAGTTCAGTTTTTGCTACCTACACATTAGCCAAAAGAGGTGTAAATATTTTTGACTAGATAAGGAGGTACAGTGTAAAGTACTGTTATCTAGAGGTACTCCATTTTGGTGTGTTCAGTATAATACTAAAATGCAAGATTTTGCCACACAGGTGATAAGGTGGTTTATTTGCTATATCAGTGCCAAAGTTATGTGCTTATTCTTTAAGTACATTCCTCACTGGGTAGTGAATATTCTGCTTCTTTATTTATCACTTTGATTCAGATGGGAACTAGAAAACTGGAGAGAAAAAATGTAATGAAACTGCTGCTGTAAATTATTTCTTTTAGCATGTACTCAGTTGTTAAATAAACATTTCTTCCAAATATTTGAAGTTCACTGTCTTGACTGTTTACATGGAAATGTGTCCTGTAACCTTCATGAGCATATGGAGTGCATTCTTGCCAATATAACACTACCAATGTATGTGAGCTCTGTTTACTAGGCCAGAAGGGTTGCTGGTTTTATTAATGGTGGTTATCATTTCTTTTTGAAGACTACAAACTACTAATACCTGAAATGAACGCTACAAACTTATCTTTAGCTTATCTTTTGGCACAACTGCATGGATTTGTGCAGATAAAGCCACACATACATACACTCCCTACTCTGCCCATGAACCAAATTGTAGATCAGCCAGGAAGCCATGTGAATGCCAGCAAGTAGCTGTACTTGATGAAATTCACTCTGTGCAATGCTAATGGCTTCGTACAGCTATGCTGCTTCCTTTTGGAAACTGGCTTGCACAGACAGCAAGTAGAATAAAACAGATTCTGTCTGTTATCAACATACCCTTTATCCTTAGGTAAACTTTGCGGCTGTTTGGAAGTGCCTAGGGGCTCTAGCTAAAAGTAATAGGACATGGCAACAAGCATTGTGCAAACAGCTAATGAGACAAACGCTGCCTTCAAAAGCGGGGAGTTTAAATATACCAGGCAAGAAGTGGAGAAAAGGAAGTATCATGATTTCCATTTGACACATACAGAATTGAAGAAACAACCAGTAGTACTTAATCATCACTAATCCATCCAGCTTTGCATGTGTTCCTTCCTCTAAAGCAAGGATTAAGATGTCCAGTTCAAAAGGATGTTGTAAGGATATTCTGTGGTTACTACTGACTTCTGAAAATGAAAATAAGCCCTCAGCAGCAGCCAGGCAACTCAGTGGGGTACAAAAGATGTCTGCAAATACAAGGACGGAATCGATGTGGCAAGCCGTGAATCCACTCACTGAAAGACCAGAGTAATTTTTCTTTTCTTTTCTGTCTGTCCAGTGCAGGGATTATAAACACTCACAAAGGAAGACCCTTGTTTCTGGATATAGCCATGCTGTGTCCTTTGATAGAATTCCCTGCAGAGCACAGCTAAACTGATTGTCCTCTATTACTGCTTTGCTACATTGCCAAGAATGTGCAATGGCTAGAGATAACCTTCATTGATACTGATTGAGAAGAAAGAAGAAACATTTGGGATTTAATGCTTATTTAAACATACATATACGTATATTTATCTATACGTACATACATCTAAACAGCCAGCTTTCACTTAGATGAAATCCCCTTTTCTCTAAAGTATTTGAGGCTCTACATGTAATTCTAGTGCATCTCTGAAGAACACTTTTGACGACCTTGAGTATAAATTGTTATAAATGTTTCCTCTGTGAAGACTGAAACACACTATTCCATTTCCTTACAGGTCACATTCACTGAGCTCCCCAACAAACATACATTTAATGGGAGCCAAAGGTATGATGGCTTTTTCCAAAACATAAAACAAAAGGACTATTCTCCCTGGAATGCTCAGTAATAGGATACAAGTAGATCACAGTATCAGTGAACCAGCCAGCTTCTTTGCTCCCCATAAATACTCCAGTGGAAGGCTGGAAGAGTTTCATAGAAAAACTAGAAATTGTGGAGAACAGTTTGGGACTTTTTTTGTCCTGGAATGTATCAGAGGTTGACATTTTGGTGAACTTCAGGATGATCTGAACTAAATCCCAAAGCTCAAGTGAAGCAACTTCCATACTGTAAAAGTTTCACTTAGGCTAAGAAAGAAGCTTCCCTCATTTTCGTAGCAGTTTTTCACCCCTTTAGGAAATGGGGCTCATCTTGCCTCAATATCAACCCAGAAAGGTCGTTATATAGTTTCTACAGTCTTTGTTGAATGCTAATGTCTTCTTTAACACACATAAGGAAGCCTGTTTCTGATGATCCCGAGCTGCTTTGTGTCCAGGCACTCCAGTCAAGCAAGTATGCAGTTTACTCTTTCCACATCTGTTAGTATTAGACCTAAAAATGTTCTACTTCCATCAATAAGGATAAAACCAGGCCTCGGTGGGCAGTAAAAGACATGTCTTCATTATAGTTAAATTATAAGGTACAACACAAAATGTCAGGGGGATGTCTGCTTCCTGGGCTGGGACAGTGAAGGCTCCCAGGGATGGCAGGGCAGGGCCTGGCAGCCAAGGTCTGTCCCCTAGGCCAGGAGCTGGGGGAGGCTGGGGGGAGTTGGGGCAGCCCCAGCCCTGAGCTTCAGCCACCTCCCTGAGGACAGAGAGTGAGTGTCAGCCCGCAGGTGTACCTAAATTGGCAGGACCCATGGGCAGGGCTGAGGTGGGACTGGAAACATCATCCTACAGCCTCA